TGATGAGCTTTGCCTGTGTTTGGGCTTTAAATAAATGGAATCACTCCGCGTGTGATCTTCTATTTCAGCTTTCTTCTGCTCAATATCACGTTTGGGAGATTCATGCTGTTGTGCACAGCTGCGGATCATTCATTCTCAATGTCGTATTCTCAACTGTGTCAATGTAATACTGTATTTGTTCTACTTGGAGTGGGCATTTGGGTAGTTTCCACTTTGGGGCTATTAGGAATAGTGCTGTTATTAACAGTCTGGCGCATGCACTTTGGTGAGCACATATGCATATTTCTTTTGGCTATATAGCTAGGTGTGTAATTCCTGGGTCATAGGGTACACATATGTTTGGACTCAGTTGATACTTTGAGATTCCACAGTGGTTGTAATGAATTATACGTGTACCAGCTGGATATGAGAGTCCCAGTTACCTCACATCCTTGCCAGTGGTTGGCATTTTCCATCTTTTTATAGTTCGGCGATTGGAGGTATGTTGCTGTCCTGCATGTCACTGCATTCCCTTGATTAATTTGTACTTTAATTTATATTTGCATGAGTTTTATTTCCTTGATTAATGAAGTTGAGTATCTCTTCATATGTTTGCTGGCATTTGTGTGGCCTCTGTTGTGAAGTGTCTTAACCGATTCCCTACCCATTCTTCTCTTGAGTTGTGTCTTTTGTGATGACAGGATTTCTTTGTATTATAAATATCTTCTACTTGGTGGGGTTACTTTTTTACTTCCCTCATGGTATATCATGTGATGAACCAAAGGCCTTAATTTTAATATAATCTATCACTTTTCCCTTTTTGTGGTTAGGATTGTTGTGTCCTGTTTTAAAAAAATTTCTGCCTACACCAACGAATCAATGTTTTCCTATGTTCTTCTCTGAAAGACACAATATTTCACCTTCTGTATTTTGATCTATAATATATTTAGAACTACTCATTATATGTGGGTGTGAGAGAGGTCAGGGTATGTTATTTTTGTATGTACACCCAGTTTAGCCGGCTCTGCTCTGCAGCCATCTGACGCCTTTAAAAAAATTAAGACTTTTGTAATCTAACTAGGTTTTTCTAGTTTGTGTAGTGGCGATATGAGTCTACCTGGAATTTCCCTCAGCCATGTAGTTTATCAACATGCTTTGTCATAAATTCCTGAGTGACTCCTTGTTTGGAGAAAATAAATTTATTTTGCTTTGCTTTCCTAGTGTTACATGACAAAAAATCCTTATTTATTCTACCAGATACATTGAATTTCTGTAAAATTAATAAAAGGAAATGTTTACTTTGTATAAAAATGAGACATTGGTTAGACTATTAACTTTGATCTAATAGGTGAGTGTTGGTTTTCCCTGAGTAAACATAATGCCTGGAGATAAGTTTTCAGCGAGTGACAAAAAGGAGACTTTAAACAAAGTCACTCTGATGATGAGGTCTTCTTAAATTTAGGCTCCCTTTTGCTCTAAGGCTTTGAGCCTTGTTCATGATTATCATCTCTAATGGTGGCTCTGTATATTAATGCCAACCTGCTTTCTATTTACTGTTAACATCATTAGGGACATTTCCGTCTTTGGAAACATCTGTGACACCAGATTTTGAATTTACTTGTCTGATATTAGTATTAACAGAGTTAGGCAAGAAGTAGTTCTCCAACCATATTCTTTTTGAGAACCATTCTTGACTCCATTCTTTCCTCTCTAGAACCCCACTGGCATGGGAGTAACATTTATTGAACGTTTAATATGACTTGTGATGGGGCGTGTAGATGGCACAGCCCTTTACTGTCTCACTTCTCACAAAAACCTTGTCAGTAGGAATTATCTTCCTTATTTTGTAGAAGGAGACACCGATCCTCTGAGTCGTTTGCCGGGTTACACCAGGAGAGAAGGCTCTCATTTCTGGCAAAATTAAAATGTACTTCCTTTCTAGGCAGTTTTGTTTTTGTGACGATTAATTGCATAAAGTATTTCATTAAGTCCATGACAACTACACTACTATCTGTTGTATTTCAACCTTCCTTCGTGGTGTTCTTATCTGAGAATTTTCTCTGTAAGTACAGATACTTTTATGTAGTATAGACCTCGAAAACCCTCACTTTGACTGATCTATAATTGACACTTTTCATTTGAACAGCACTGCAAATGTTCTTGGCTTATTGTCATCCATGTTTATGCCCTCAGCACTCCTGCCTAGGAAGGACCTGTTCCTTCTTCAAAGCTCATCTGTCCCGATGGCTCCCACCTCTCTAGCATGGGCGACTCTCTGAGAAATCTCCTTACTTCTCTTCCAGTCCCATGTTGTCAGCTTCTCATGGGACGTCATCCCAACAGCCATCCCATAGGACAACCTGGGAACAATTCTTTGAAAGGAGTTCTGCTTCTGTCAATAGAATCATTCCTGGTTTCTGGACTAGAAATCATAATATCACCTTTGTGTAGTTCACACTGAATATGTATTCTTTTTCAAAGCTTTGTTTCTTCCATTCCAGTGTTTCCTGGATTCATCCTTCCTGGTCCGTGTCTATTGCTACCAGGCATATGCTGGCTGCTTCAGCTAAAACACCTGCTATGGACCTCCACGTATTTCCTGACTATACTTCCTTCACCTGAATGAAGTTCAGGCCCACGCTTCTTACCTTGATTCTTGCCACAGCTCCCTAATGCCTCTCTACCTCATGCGTCCTCATCCTCTGATCCATTTTCTGCACAGGAGTTTTCTTTCTAAGCACAAAGTTTGCTCTGGAGGCCAGTAAGCCACATAACCAAATGAAATTCCTTGGCATAGCTCACAGAGCATTTCATGACTTATTCCACAGATACGTGAGCACATGTCTAAATCAGGCACCGTAGTAGGAGCTGGGCATTCAACACAAGACCGAACTTCAGCCTCAGAGTATTTGGGTGCCTGCCCACTTCTCTGCCTTTACCTTGACACATGTGAAGCCTGCCACGCGAGCCTCCAGTAGTGCCAACCAACTTCGCAGTGCCCCACACAGCCACGGTCTTTCAGTCCATGATTAGAAAGCCTTGTGTTTCTCAACTTACCTTCCATCACTCAGTTTAGAGACCCTCCCAACCAAGAAGCTCCCCTGACCACTCCTGAGGCTGGACAGGGGGCTCCTCTGGGCTTAGCTCCATCAGAACAGTGTGGCATTTGGTGGTGATCTTCTGCTAACTGGCCTAATGTCCCAAGTCACTCATTGGTTCACTGAGCATCTCTGAGGCTCCAAGACCATGCAGTGTCTGGTCCAGCTTTCTGTTGATGAATGTCTACGTGCAATTTCATCATGTCTATTTCCTCCTGAAGAACTATGGGACCTGCTGGTTGCCTGCTCTGTCATGTGACTCATGTGGATTTTGAGATGCTTTGAAGAGACGACCTCCCCACATACATCCAAGCGGACCTCTGCACGTTCATTCGGTGGATGCAGCTCTTCTCTTTCTGTTTCTTACCTCCCACACTGTGCTCCCTTCTAGCCGTCATTCCTCTGGTCTGTGCTCTCTGGCACCTCCACCCGCTGGCCCTGCCGCGTATCCAAATCCTGCCTGTGTTTCTGGGCCAAACTCAAAGGTTGACTTCATTGTGAAGCTCTCTCTGCCCATTGTATGGCCCATGGATCACCTCTTAGATGTGCGCTTTTACCTTGTTTGTCCGTGAGCACCCAGCATATAGAGATGGGGTGTTAGGGTTCATAGTTCACCGGTTACTGAGTATGACAAAGGAAACATATAAAGAGTCCTGAATTCATTCCGATAAATAGTACTCAAAACTGAAACCTTCAGTTATGAGCAGCTGGCTTTTAGGAATAATAGGGAGAACAAAACTTCCTGTGTGGCTGACCTAGTGGACATCTCAGCTTGACATACCCCCCAACCAACTCTGACTCCCCTGTCTCAGCCAGTGGCAGAGTCTACTAGTGTTGTATCCAAAATACATAGACAATCTCAAGAATCTGATCCTTTCTCATCCCCTCTTCTTCCCGTTATTGGTCCAAGCCACCATGTTGCCTAGATGGGCATCTGTCTCCCAAGAGGTCTCCCTTCCTCTGTCCTTGTCCCCTGTTTGATCTCAACACAGTGGCAGATGATATGACACACTGAACTCTACTCAGAACTCAGCAGTGGTGTTCCATTTCACACAGAGTAAAGGCCGTGAGGGCCTTGGGGACCCACACTCCCATTCCCTTCGTGTCCTGCCCCTGGTCCCCGAGCCCCCAGCCTTCTTGTTCTTCCCTAACTTCAGGGCTCCCGCCCCCAGGTCCTTCACACTTCTTCTCAAATACTGAGTTACCAGCACCACCTCCTTAAACCTGTAGCATCCTTTCATTGGCTACCTCTTTTACTGGTTTCCCTGTTTCATACATAAAGAGTATATATTTTTTTTTCCAAAAAGCATTATTACATGTTTTACTCCATTTTCTTCCCTTCTCCATGAATGTGTCAGCTTCTTGGGGACAGTCATTTTGTTTGCTGCTGTATCTCCAGCATCTAAAATAGAGTCTGGCCTGTGGATGTTGCATTATTAGCTTTTGAATGACAGCAACTGGTTTGTGATCATGAAAGTGCTCGCTGGGAGCCCCCGATGCCTTCCTGTGGTAGTCCGTTGACATATCAGGATAAAAGCTGGGAGCACAATTCCATTGTCAGTTTCGGTGATGCCCTCTTGGACTCTCTTTCACCCGCATTAAGTAAGAGAACGCTCCCAGCCAAGGAGAGCATCGCGCAAGATGAAGGACGTAGCTGTAGTTTTCCAGTGGAAGCCTGGGTGCCTGCTTGAGATGCAGCCCAGTGAGCTCACTGCTCTGACCAGTAACTGAGCAAAGGCCCGAGAATTCCAGAACTTGGGGACATTACTGCTCTCTGTGTATTTAAACATTTGCTCTCCCTGCCCCCACATATTTACATTCTTCCCAAGGACACCTCTAGGAGTGTCAGAAGAAATGTAAAGATGTAAAAATGTATCTATAACTAAAAAGTATACACTTGATGGAGTTTGAAAAATTACTCACCGCTGTCGATTGCCAGGAAGAGGGCAGTGTACACGCTGTTGTGGACGAAGGGCGACTCACGGTCCAGCACGGCTGTGGTGTCAACAGTGCCATTGATGGGGTTTATATTCAGCCAGCCTGCTGGGTCCTTGTAGACAGAATACCTGAAAAAAAACCCCAGCAACATCACATTACGTTCACAGTGTATTCCTGAAACACTCACTGAGTGCTGAGCACAAGCTCCCATGCAAGGTGTCAGGTGATTCTTAATACAAATCCCCAAACATCATTGCGGTTAGACTTGCGCATTCAGAAAGTAATGGACTCTGGGCCTTCTCTGTGTTAAATATTTTGTACACATGCCTCCTTTATTCTTCATGACAAGCCTGTGAGGAGGGAGATCTTACCTGCCCAGTTCTCACACAGGCAGAGGTCACAGTCTGTCTCCTGAGCCCATGTATAGTTCAGGTTCTTTTACACCTGGGATGCGTCTCACATGCAGTGCAAAAAAACAACAAAACCCAAAACCATGACAGTCAGAGAGAACTTCACCAGGGCCGCTGGCAACGTCGGGTCTGGCCCTGGGCTGGCTGGTGCCAGGAAGCAGCTCTTACCCTCTGCCCTGGCTATATGCCCCACAGCACACACTGGCAGTGCCACATGAGAGCTAAAAGCGTGAGCTTCAGAGGGAAAAGGACCTGGGTTCTGACTCTGTGGCCTTGGGGGAGCTATTGCTGTGTTTCCTGTCCCTCCTCTGTGGGGCGGGATGATCCTGGTGACCTCACGGGGGAGGTAAAGTGAGGCCCTGATAAGGAAGTGTGTGGCTCCTTGTGGCGTGCTGCTGTGCAGTTCTCAGGTGGCCCGCTGGGGCCAGGTCCGGCGTGCCCTCTTTTTATGTGATCCACACCATTCCAGAATGTTTTGGAACTATCCAACTCAGTGGAGCCCTGAAGTCAAACAAACAGTGAACAGGATGGATGAGAGAAAAGGTAGGTTTTCCCATACTCCTTGCCTCCTCAGTTATCACTTCCATATTTCTTAAAAACAGAAGAAATGTATAACTCATAAGAAGGAACTACTTTAAAAACTGATTTGATAGCAATTTATGCTTCCACTTGCAAACTTCTATTATCTTCTAAGACCCGGATGAAATGTCTTCTCTCCGTCACCCTGTATGAGTTCCTCAGAATTAGTCACTCCCTCTAGGTCTTTGCTGTGCAAGTGCATAGATCACAATGTCTGTTTGTGCATAATAGAGGCCCTGGTCGGTCTGCTGCGTTCACCCAACTCCGAGCTTCTCAATGTCAGGATGAGGTTAAAGTCGGCTCCTCTGCCGCATGCTTTTTGTGTCTGGCTCTGTGTTAAACATGCCATAATCTGCGCCACATTCATTTATTTTGTGGTTCTTAACAACCAGATGAACTTGGTAGCATCCCTGTTTGAAAGATGAGATAACCAAGATCCAGAGAGGCTTAGCAATGTGTCAAAAGCTGCACAGCTAAGGAGTGGCAGAGCTGGAATACAACACAGTTGTGCTGGATTGCAGGCACTGGCCCTGAGCCAGGATACGGCTTGTTGTTTGTGCCCTGCACCAGCTGCTGGCTATTCTGTATCCCCAAGGCTATGTACCATGCCTGGAACTGAGTGGCTGCCCAGCACGTGTTATCGCACCCTTTCTCTTTCAGTTGCAGCAATCATGGATACGGAAAATGCAGACAGGCAGTCTTTGTTTTCCATCTTACCAGGTAACAAGTTCACAGTTGATTCAGGAGTGATTGGTGGTGGCTCAACACATTTGAAATAATGAAAAATTTAAATGGACCGTATTTTATTCCCTGATGGCTTAACTCAGGGTTGGAATATAAATAAAAACGGAATTAAAGAACCCAGCTTGCGTGTCGGCAAAGAAGCGATGCCCTCCGTTTCTCCCTCTGTCGTATAGTTGGCCTCGTGGTGGGACAGTCGGCGGCTTCTCCTGCGTGAGGCCGAGTCATACGCAGCCAGACACAGACATCCGCGCGGAAGCTGTCCCCTAAGAACAGTGCCCAGCACAGTTAGGCCACACATCACGTTCCCAGTGAAAACAAGGGCTTGGGGGTTTCCAGGAGAGCATTTCGCTATTTTTCTTCCTTAAAAGATCACCAGGAATTAAATCGCTGTGCTGTCCCACCGTGTTTTTGCAGGGCTCTTGTATTCTGTTTCCCTCTGTTGGCTTATTTATTTTGTTTGGTGTCCTTCCCATCCGAGACCTTGGGGAGGCACCCCTGTACCCTAAATCTCCTTGATGTCAGCTTGCTGCTTCTACTAAGAATCACAGCCACGGACAGGGAAAGACAGGGTGCTGCATATGCTGAGCCCAGCGCCCGGTCACACTGCGCCCATGTAAGCCTAACTCAGAGCTGGGGGGAAGGCCCCGAATGTGGGTGTGATCCTGTATTCTACCCCAGAGGGGGGAAGAGCTGGATGGAGCCTGCCAGACACCCTTCTCTTCTTCTTCCTGGTCAAATCAGCCCTTTGACCAACTGGCCAGCCACTGCATGTGAATTCCTGACATTTTCAAAGCTGTCATCTTAATGAACCTTTTGGTATAAAAAATACCAGCATGCGGGATGTTGTCCATGCTTGTAGGCCTGAAAAAATGCATATGCCTTGTTAAATTGGAATTCCTGGGCAATTTATCTGTAATGTGAACCTTGCTTGTTATAGGAGAAGAAAAATCGAATTAACAACAGACCTCATTTCGGTCTACAGGCGCTGCTGGAACGCTCGCCGGAGCGCAGCCTCTTCCGGCGGGGTGTTGGGGTTGGGCGATGCAGGGCAGGCTGATTAGCAGAATCAGGCAGCGTGGCCAGGTGGCACTGGGGGCACCGACCACGCTCGGGCCCTGCAGCCCTCCCGGAGGCAGGCTCACCATCAGTGGGGGCCAGCGGCGTGGCAAGGAAGCTGCCAGGCCGGAGGCCAGGCCCAGGTAATGACCGGGGAGGAATGCCAGAGCCAGGGGCTGCCGGGCTCGGCCCGCAAGGCGCCCTGGGAGCGGTGGGCAGGAGGAGGAGACCCAAAGATTTGACGAGTCCCTTCTGCACGTTTCTCGGGGTCACTTCCTGTGATACGGGGCTTCCGCGTTTGCTCATTATCCACACCAAAGCCACACGGGTTCGCATGACCTTCCTTTTACTGCAGACTTAAAAATGTTACAAAGTAAAGGTGGCTTTAGTGCAGGAACAGCCAAATGCATTAATGTCATATGTTAGCGCCCTAGAAGTGGGCGAGTTTTACAGATACAGATATGTAGATATAAATACCTAATAGATGTATTAGCAAACTAGAGATATATCAATCTACCCATCTATACAGGTGTTTTATATATAATAATATATATATATATATATATATATATACACACGCACCCATGTATATGCTTCAAAATTTACTCTTTGATGTAGTGCATGCTGGATTGTTTGGAGCGGGTAGGGGGTTCAATAAACAGTGTCAGCTCCTCATCCATCTGGAAGAAAGAGTAAATTGGATATCTTTCTGATGCCCTTTGGCCCTTGAGCGTATTTGAACATATGTAAATGCATCCAGAGAGGTCTGGGTGGCTGGTCACAAACTGGTGGCGTGGATTACCTTGGGGAGGGGGTTTGGGGTGGGACTGGTGTCAGAGGAAGTCAGTCCACGACCCCCAGGGCTTTGTAGATCTACTGCCGTGAGCGAAGCCCTGGTCTAGAATGAGCCCTGGACAGGGAACCCCCAGGAGTGTCCTGGCTGAGGTCACATACCGTACGGAGGCTTGGTTATTTAGACCAACAGATGAGCCAACGCAGCTCACCCTCAAAGAGGAATCAGTAAGGATACTCTAGACTGTGAGAACCTGGAAAAGGAAAACGAGGGAAGTAGGAACACAGAGTGATTTTATATTCCTACGGAAGGAATCTTCCTGTCGAGGGAAGCAAACAGCCCCGTAACACGACGTGGGGGGAGGGGGGGGACAGGAAACGGGCGCGTGCTCAGCTCACCACCTAATTCCAGCCCAGGGAGCCCCCTGTGAGCTGAATACCTGCTTGGGTGGTTCAGATCAACCACTTCATTTAAAAACAGAACTAGAAAGTTACAGAATTCCCAGCTGACAGAAATACACTGTTTTAAAATAACTCCCGCAGCTGTGGCTCTGAGTGTAAAGGAAAGGGCACATTTCATATCTTCTGACAAAACATACAGAAAAGATTGAAGGGCCAGTGAGTTCCAGAATCCCAGTTCTGGACAGCTGCAGCCCATTAGGGTTCAGGGCTTGTGCAGAGCCTGTGGGCAGCATTTTCTCCCTTCCCAGGGAAACCAGAGCCAATAAAAGCAGCATCAAAAACAGGAAGGCTTTTCCAGGAACGGGGCAATGTCACAGCCAGCAGATGTGGACAGCCGCTGCCCAGGGGTGGGCAGGACCCCCTAGGTTGGGGAAATGGGGACAAAGCTTGCCTAGCCTCACATGGGGCTGTGACTTTCTGTGGCTCAAAATCAGCTGGGAGCTGGGGAGGCATTTTTGACACCTCTCGGCCGTCCCTGGACCCCCTCTCCCAGGCATCCTGGAGCCCCTGGTGGAATCCTGTGGCTACCCTGCATGAGGCTCTACCAGACTGCAGTCCTGACCATCCCCTTCCTGGGCAGCTGCCATCTCCTGGCGGCACATGGACCACATCTTGGTGGCCCCTGTAGACATTCAGACCCCTCCATGACAACAAGCAATGAGCAGCTTCTCACCTCTCAGGAGATGGCCTTCCATCCCTGCAGCAGGCTGCGTGGGCTTGGCGTGAGTCCCTCCTAGGAAGCAGGTCTTCTTTGCTGGGACCAGGGCCCTGCTCTTGACTCATTGCCTCCATTGTACTAGTTACAGTCCAGTTTCCAAAGAGCACATCATTTTCAATGTTATGTCATGTTGTGTGAGACTCTTGCTTAGAATCGCCTCATGACATCCCGCTGAGCACAGAATAAAACCCCAACCCCTGACCGTATCTCCAAGCCTGGCCCAAGTCTCCACCCTCATTTCCTACCTCTTTCCTCACCCTGCCCCCACCACGCTGTAGACATTTGCGTCTTCCTTTTGTTCCCTGAAAAGACCAAATTCACTCCAGTCTCAGGATTTTCCATTTGCCACATGGAACGCCATCACCTT